GAGGAGGAGGAAAAAAGGAAAGGAAGAAAGAAGAAAAATGCTATGTAAAAAAACTAAAGCTATTATTTTATACTACTCATATTAGAAAATACATTTAAAGAATTCTTTTCTTCCCAGTATGTACTGGGAACTGGACCCAAGGCCTTGTGCCTAAAAGTAAAGTGCTCTACCACTAAGCTGCATCCCTTAGTCCCTTTTATTTTGAGCAGGATCTCAACTAAGTCGCCCAGTCTAGCTGCAAACCTGCCTCAGCTTCCAGAGTAGCTGGGACCACAGGCACGCACCAGCACACCCAGGTCATTCCTATTTCCTATAAGACATTTTATACAAAACACTGATCTCTGAAAGTTGCATTAGATATGCTGGGAGCTTGACTGCTGATTCTCCATGCAGTCAGTCATCACTGACTTGCAAATTATAAATTCTTCTACTGTGTGAGCGGTGCACAAGTACTAAATGTATTCTCACTCAACAATATAACAATGCACAGGAATAGGGGACAATGCAGAAACCCTAAAATCCTGCTTTTCTCCACAAAGATACATCAGAGCGATGCATTCTCCCCTACCCAAAATCTCTTGAGTTAATAGATTTAAAGATGGACATTATCTGAGTGCCCTTGTTTTACTGGTGAGGAAACTAGGCCTAGACAAGCAATGTGTAAAGGTCAGCAACTAGTGAGTAGCATCTTCAAGACAGAAGACCCAACTTGTAAGGCTCCCAAGGCTGTGCTCCTTCCACATCACAAATATTGTGACTGTCAGTATTATTTTAAAGGTCATTGTCACAAAATCCACAAAAAATAATATGTACAAATGCAAGATAAAAATCTGACTAGTTGAGCTGATGCAATTTATACAATAAAGTATTGCTACCACTTTCCTGTCTGACAACAGTGGCATTAATTCAAGGAATCTGTAACTGTTGGCCTTTTCATAGTTGGCTTTTTTCATCAACAGAACAAACACGGCTGAGGATGAAATATTTTAATAGCCTTCCTTATAACTGGATACAAATTATAACTTGGTTTTTAAACTGCAAATAACAAAAGAAATTGTTATTCTTAAAACTATTCCAGACTATCCACATAACCTTTTCTTTAGATTGAAGTGAGTCACTTATAGTGCTTTGTATTATATGGCTTTGTCAAAACTACAGTTAAAAGTCTGTTTTTTAGTATATATTACTCAAATATTATAAGCTAAACTAACATATAAATTGTTTATGCTAAGCTCTGCAAGAGGATTTCAGAAGTCCTAATAAAGAATATATAAAACATGGCAGTAGGGCTGGGAGTGTAGCTCAGTGGCAGAGCATTTGCCTAGCATGCACAAGGTCCTAGGTTCAATCTCCAGCAAAAAAGGAAACAGAAGAAAAGAAGAAGAGAAGGGAGGGGAGGGGGAGAGAGAGGGAGACGAAGAGGGAGAAGGAGAGGGAGAGGGAGAAGGAGAAGAAAAACACAGAGCAGCAGTCATCAATTCCTGTGAACAAGAAGCAATAGGAAAAGTCAGTGCTAACACCAAACAATGGATGTCTTACTGCATTGCTGTGGGTCTTTGCGTGCCACAGACCTAAAGGAACAAATACCAACCCATGCTACTAGACGGTAAATAATTATTAGAAGAAAAACTTAAAAATATATAGGGTAGAAAAAAAGTGAGGATATAAGTCGCTTTTGACTTGCCAGCACTGCCTGTCTGGCAAATCTGAACTTTAATCAGTACTACATAACTGGGAAATAGGAACAAAGCCTCCCCTAAAACAATTTGAGACAAAAGCAAACCCCTGTAGGGTGAACTGAAAAGTGCATGTTTATATCACATACTCATGCAAGTTTCAGGATGTAACCACTTTTGAACTTGGAAAATGGTCCTACAAATTACTAATACCTTCAGGAAACAGAAAAGCATGATTCCTCTCTAGTGGTAAAGTAGCTTGATTATGTACCTCAAATAATTCATATAAATGTACAGTGAACTTATGTGAGGTATGATCAAAATATACAGTGAATTTAAGGTTTTAAAATTTATTACAATAAAAAACACATTACTCTTAATCCCCCCAAAAATACTCTCCCTTGCTTCAAACACGCTTATCCCACATTCTTGCCACTTTCTGAAGCAGTTCTGTAAATTCTCTTTCATGAGTGTCTTCAGTTCTGCTGCTTTGATGTCCTAAACTGATTCACATTATTTACCTTCTATGGTCACTCTGACTTTGGGGAAGAGTCAGAAGTTGCACGGTATCATACCAAGTGAATAAGGTGGATGAGGACACCATGTAATATTTTTATGAGCCTGGCTATCCATTCATAGTACCTGGCAGCAGTATTCACTGTTTTGTTTTGCTTTTTAATCACAATTCAGGACATCAGGAGGCCATGACAGGGCAACTAAGGACACTCACAATAGTAAGTACTTCAGCAAGCGGCAAAGACAATGGAATGGGTGTGTTTGAAGTGACAGGGTATTTTGAAGGGAATTAATGGCAACGTGTCTTTTACTCTAATACCTTTTTTTGCGGGGAGGGGTTTGAGACAGGGTCTCACTATGTAGTTCAGACTGCCCTGGAACTCACTGTGTAGCCCAGGTTGGTCTCGAACTCACAGCGATCCTCCTGCCTCAGCCTCCCAAGTGCTCTAATACATTTTTTAACATTTAAACATTCTCCATATTTTTACCTCATATGCAGTACACCTACACCTACACACACAATAATCATCAACAGATAAAGGAAACCACACACATACACATATATATGGGAGAAAGACTAACATAAGGGAGAAACAAAAGAAACAATGGAAAGAGAAAGAGAGAGACCCACAAACACTTTCGATAGCAGAATTACCAGTTCTCCACCAGTTAATAATTTGGAGGGAAAAATGAAAATGAACAGAGCTCAAAAGACAGCAAGAAGATGATTTAAGTAAGGTACAAGGGATATGAAAAATGAGGAAAATAAGAGAAATAAGATTTTTTAAATTGGTAAACAAATTGATAGGATTTGGTCCCCCTTTGCACATAGGGATACAATAAAGATAAAACTCAGAGAGCTTCAATTTTCTAATTCTGGGAATAGTGGATACGGTGCTCAAAAATTCAAAAGCAGGTTTTTCAGTGAAAAACAATTAATCCCCTTTTGAATTTGTTAATTTTTAAGTGTTTATGAGAAATCAAGGTGGGATGATTCCAAAAGGAGATGAACAAATGGTTTTGCAGCTCTGCTGATAATATAAACTTGGGAAGCACTGTATAGTGGAAGGCACAGGAGTAGAGCTCCCTGGTACAGTGCACAGAATGAGGAAAGATCCATGGACAGAAGCTTGGGAAAGGCCAGCAGTCAGTCTTTGTCTCTGAGTCTGTCTCTCCCTCCTCCTCCAGTCCTGGGAGTACCGGGGATTCAACCTAGGGTCTTCACACTCAGCTACCTCTCTCTAGTCCTTTTGGTTCTATTTTTGTTTTTCACTCGCTAAAGCGCTAATTGCCAAGGCTCTCAAACTTGTGATCCTCTTGTATCAGCCTTCAGAGTACTGGTATTGCAGGCATGCACCAACATGCCTGGATATAGCTCTCTCTTCTAAGGATAGATCAAAATGACACTGAATAGAAATAGCCAGAGAGTAGAAGGAGAAGCAAGGGGTGCAATCCCATAGCAACCAGGGGAAGAGAAAGGTACAGTTTCTACGTTATTCTAAATCTTCACTCACTTTACTTGGAATGAGGGAGGAGGTATGTAGCTTTTTAGCATGCATTAATTTTAATGTCTTTTAATTCATTCATACACTGATTATTATATCTCAGTATTACAATCTTGCTTAATTTTCATCTAGGAAAAAAATTACAGCTCTCTGCCAGTGTTCATTTAATTTTTAATGACTGAGAATTACTGTATTTTGTAAATAGAAATGCCACTACTAAAAATAAAATGCCATAAATGGGATGATGTCTTTTACTTCCAAAGACTGTGGATAAACTAGAGTGACGCAAAAGTAATAATAAAATCAGGACAGTGCACGGCAAACTTTGGGAGCAAGGTCAGGATTATAAGTCCTAAGTCATCACTGGTTAAATGCTGCAGACAGAAGCACTGTCAGCGAGTATTCTTGGGGCAAATGGGAAACAGGTTAAGTATATAGTACCTGGCCTCAAGGTTGGTTCAAAGTTTAAACAACAAAGGTTTCATCCTATGTTTCTCCCAATAACATTTCTTCATTGGTGTATCTGAAGACATCTCCAAATCTTCAAATATAAAAAGTGTAGAATTCGTATGAATTAAATTCTGTGCTCATCCATAAGTATAACTATGTAATTCTAGAAAATATAAAGCACTATTTCGGTACTTGAAAAAAATCATATCAATAAAGCATTTGTGGTTTAAGCAAATACTTGGAGTACTGGGCTGAATGAAAGAACTCAAAAGGTAGTTTAGGTCAATCCCCCTGCCTCCAAGCAAAGTTTTCTCAAACCCTCTCTAAGTACAGGTCCCACCCAAAAGTTGCCTTGCGGTTTACTCACATTCCAGTTCAGGGCAATGGGCTCTTATTAAATCAGTACATGTCCATGCGTATGCAACAATCCGTATTGTGATTTTGTTTTTGCTATGATGGAGTCTGAAATAACTTGGGCTAATAACCTGTACCCATTTAATTAGAGTTCTTCAAAAGAAAGAAGAGAGATATGATCCAAATGCCACATTTCTACAGTCAGAGGGAACTGAAACCCTGAGGATGATTTGTGAGCTAAAATGAATTCTACTGAATTATCTGGATAATTAGGTGGCTGGTTCCATGGAGATCAATTTCACCTTCAGTGAGGCTGCAGGCTCTCCTCCAGAAAGAATGCAGTGGGGTATGAAGCTAGTTCATTAATCCTTAACATTATACTAGACCAAGAACCAGACTAATTCACAATTTTTACATAGAAGCTGTTTCTGTAGGTGCCTGACAGACATTCATATGTATTTCCAGTGCCTACATTTCTTTCTTTCTTTCTTTCTTTTTTTTGGGGGGGGGTACCGGGGATTGAACTCAGGTCCTTGCGTTTTTGCAAGTCAGGCAGCAGAACCACTGAGCTAAATCCCCTGCATACATTTCTGTTATTTAAGTGGAATAATATATTTTTGAAACTCTAGGATTTGGAAGAAGTTTATTTAAACCAGTCAAATGATTGCTGTATTTACTACCCATATGCATGTAAGAAATAACCAGAAAAGGCCAAGGATTTAGCTCAGTGGATTTAGCTTGCCTTGCAAGCTCAAGGACACAAGTTCGATCCCCTACCAAAACAAATAATAATAATAATCAGAAAAGAAAATGATGAAACAATTTGTTAGTAAAATACATAATACTGCAATATATTTTTATTAACTATATTTATAAAGCCCAAATATTTCAAATTTGTCTTCACATTAAAACAGTCCCAGCTTCAAAATTACTCCAATTTAATAGTATTTGCCAGCATATTAGTTAGAAGCATAGCAGAAAAGGATGTTTTCTTTGGTTTGTGTGTGTGTGTGTGTGTGTGTGTGTGGTACTGGAGATTAAACTCCGAGTCTTCACAATGAGATATATCTGTAACCCTTTCATTATTTTTATTTATTTTTAATTTTTTATTAGTATACATTTGTGATACATAATGAATATATTCATCGTGAGGTACTGGTACATATACACATTGTATCTTGATCTTAAATCCCTCAGGCTGGCCTGGAACTTGTGATTCTCCTGTCTTAGCTTCCCACAGGGATGGGATTACAGGCATGCAGCACCATGCCCAACTAAGAATTAATTTTAGAATAAGTAAGACACTAAACTGGCTGCAAGAGAGGTTAAGTAGAACTCTCAAAGACATTGGTGTAAGAAAAGATTTTATGAACAAGGCCTCAGTTCCCTGTGAGCTAGCACAATCAACAAGTGGGATCTTTTCTTATTAAAAAGCTTTTGCCTTGCAAGCACAAGGACCTGAGTTCAATCCCCAGTACTAAAAAAAAAAAAAAAAAAAAAAGCTTTTGCACAGAAAGAGAAACAACCAACAGTGTGAAGAACCAACCCATAACATGGGAAAAAATTTCCATCAACTGTTCCTCAGACAAAGGGCTACTATCTAGAATATATAAAGAACTTAAAAAAATTCAGGGAGGAGGGGGTGAAGGGAGGGCAGAGGTAAGGGGAAAAAAATGAGAATCAAGACTTGCCATGTAAAGGTACATGATCCCAACAATGAATGTAACTGTACTGTATCCCTAAAATGTACCAATAAACTCAATAAAATTAAAAAAAAAAAATTCAGACCTCCCAAATTTAAAGACCCAATTCAAAAATGGGCATCTGAAATGAACAGACATTTCCCAGACAAAGAAGTAGAAATAGCAAATAAACATATGAAAAAATGTTCATCATCACTGGTCATTCTAGAGATGCAAATGAAAACAATACTGGGATTCCATCTCACCCCAGAAAGAATGGCTGCTATCAAGAAATCAATCAATAACAAATGCTGGTGGTGCTGTGGGTAGAAAGGAACCCTGCTCCACTGCTGGTGGGAGTGCAGACTGGTGCAACCACTGTGGAAAGCAGTATGGAGATATATCAGAGAACTAGGATTGGAAGTCCCATTGACGCAACTATTCCCCTGCTGGGCATCTTCCCTAAAGGATTAAAAGAATCCTACCACAGTGATATATGTGCACCCATGTTCATAGCAACACAATTTGTAATAGCTACAACTGGGAAGCAGCCCAACTGCCTATCAGCTAAAGACTGGATAAAGAAAATGTGGTTTTTTTATAAACAGAATACTATTCAGACATTAAAAAATGATAGATTAGAGACATTTATAGCTAAATGGATGCACACTGAGGCGATACTCTTAAGTGATATAAATAGAACACACGTGTAAATACTGAATAGTTCCTCTAGTGTGAGAAACTGAAAAGTTAAATAAGGACTAAAAGGTATAACAGATGATGTGAAACAGGAAGAAAAGACACAAAGAGTAGGGGGAAACAGGAGGAGTAGTGGAAAGGAAAGAAGGGAATGGAATCAATATGAGAAAATGAAAAACAATGGAAACAAAGCCTTTGCAGATTGGGAGGGAGGGAAGGAGGGGTTAAAGGGAGGGCAGGGGAATGGGGAAAAATAAGAACCAAGATGGATTATGTAAAGGTGCAAATTTTCAACAATGAATGTCATTATATTGATACATCAAATGTACCAATAAAGTTAATAAAAGTTAAAAAAAGTTTACTATTGGAGGCTTTACTACAATAGTCTAAGTATACAGCTGTGAACAACAAAGACAAATTAGTTTCTCTGTACTGCAATTCTTTTATATGGCTTCTTTTTTGTCCTTTTTTATATCACACATACTGTCTTTCCTCTATTGGTCAGGAGGCCAAAATTTATTGGATATGTATTATTTTTATGAATAAAGATCAATAATAGACAATACTAGTGACAAGCACAAACATGAATGACAAAAACTTCCCAACTAGATAGAAAGTCCTAATTTGAGAATAGGGAGTAAATTGAAAAAGGAAAGAGTAGATAAAATTTAAATTGTTATTTATGAATGTATTCAGCTAACACAGGTTAGTTGCTTATAATGTGCACAGAGATGTGCTATGTGCCATAGGAGACATAAAAATGAATTAAGACAGAATAAAGGCTACCATTTTCTAGGTCCTATCCATTGTCCTGTGGTTAAACTCTCCCATTCTTGGGCTTTAATCTGTCTCTACTCTGTGACCTTTAACAATTCACTTAACATCTGCAAGCCTCAGCTTCCGAAGTGGAGATTATAACAGTACATTTTTTATAATGCCTCTGTGGGGCTGAAATAGCCAATGCGCACAAATCACTGAACACTGACTCTTATAAAATAAATAGCTAACAGTCACTGCATGCTTTTCCAGGGCTACTATTACCCTACTAGTCTCACACATCCCTTCTTTCTTTTCCTACCCTACCAACCTAAATAAGATTGTAATATTTTTTATTGAATCAAAAATATTTGCAAGCACCAAGCTTTTCAAACAGTATACTGAGTTATTCCCAGTTCAAAGAATATAATTTCTTGACTTTTATACCTTTGCTTTATTCATGCCTCTGACCACATTCCCCATAGTATATCTGCCTGGGTAAAAGTCTAACCCATTTCATCAGCTAGCCTAAACATGTTCACAAGCCTTTCTGCATTTCGACAAGAAATAACTTTACTTCTGAGCTTCCACTGAATTTACAATCCTTGTCACTTCTCTTCCCCCATAAGCCATGTTTATCCAAAACAAGAGTTTTGGTTTTTTTTTTAATATTCAAATGCTCTTAGTTCCCGGTTAGACACATGTAACAAAACATGATGGGACACATAAAAACTTCATCTTTTTTTCCTCTCACAAGAATAATCTCTGTTGAAGAGTATGGATATTGCTTTGTTATTATGATTGACGAACAAACTACAAAATCAGCTCCAGAATATTCTAAAAATGTCATAACCTTGAACGGGATTACTGAGAAATGTCCACACTGTGAAAACACAACACAGAAACAGGAAATGAGAATTTGATATCAAGATTCAGGCACAGTGTTTTAAGAAGAAAAAAGATTATATAATTGTTTGCTTACTTTTCTTTCCTGCTCCCCAGTTGGCGAGCTGTGTATGGATCTCCATAATCAATTAGCACTAGTTGCCGAGAAAAGATATTCACTTTGTTGCCTATAAATAAATCTTCCAAGCGCAGGTCATCATACCTGGTCCGCTTTAAAAAGGTGCGATGATTCTTTACATCATGCTTTAACCAAAAACAACAACGCAATTAAAAAATATACTTACCAGTAATGAATCTTTTATTTATTTATTTATTTATTTTTGGGGGGGTACCGGGGATCGAACTCCAGCCCCTGCACTTGCAAGGCAGGCGCTGGAACCACTGAGCTAAGTCCCCGGCCTCCAGTAATGAATCTTTACCTCATTATGAGATAATATAAATAGTTCTTAATTCTAGCTTATCAAACATAGGTGATGTTTTGTTTTGTCTTGTTGTGTTACTACAAATGAAATTTGTATTATAAATTCTGTATTTCCTAAACCCACCTTTTAATATAAAAGGTTTTTATTACAAATATAATACTTAAAACCTTCTGAATAGAAATATGTGTTTATGGACAAATTATTTCAGCAAATTAATGCCTACGAAATCCCAGAGAAAGTCATATGCCCAAACTTCTGCTTTCTTGTATACATATTTCATTGGCACACAGACACACTTTTTAAAATGTTGTCAATGAAAGGACATAAAGGAACCTTCTCAACCCAAACTTCTTTGGTTCCACTTTTTGTACAGATAACAGATAATGCTTATATTTATGACCATAATAATCTTTACCCATAACTACTCATGTTTACTGCTTTATCTAAAACATGAATAATCCCACTTCAATTTTTTTAAAAATCCAAGTTTAGATATTAAAAATATGAGCACAGTTATATTTCTGAATTGGTATTATAATGAATAGCCCCAAAAGAATTCCCCAAAAATATATATGAATGTATTTTTAAAGCAACTATGTAAAAGGCAATCCTGTTAATACCCTGTCCTACCTTCACCCTCTTTGTCAACTTTCAAGCAAACACAGGTTCATTTACCATTTCAACTGATCCATCTCCTGGGTAATATAAAAGCTCGTAACGTCGAAGGAGTGAAGCATTTGGATCATACCACTCTGCGATGAAAACGAATCTCTCGCTATGATTCTGTAAAGAAAAATAGAGTTGTTTTAACACTAACATATGAAATACAAGCACTATTCTGTAAGTCATGAAAATAAGAATTTCCAAATATTTCCAAGAAATACGTTACTGCATGTTGTACTGAATTATTCTGCTTTTCAATAAGATACCAGTTTCAGATGTATTTCTTGCTAATTTCTCATTTAATATCTTTAGACATTTCAAAGATAAGTTATAAACAGTTTAATGTTTCATATCCATCCAATCACCTGAAGTAAATTAATCTTTTTTCAGACTATGAGCCCTTGATCTACTATGACAATTTAAAATCTATCTGAAGGCAAGTTTACATATAGACTATCAATACATCAATATGAAAAATGTTTCTGAAAGGCTGAAACACCGAGTTTTAACTTTCCTAAACTTAAGAATTTAGTAATATTAGAATAGTGTTATCATTAAAATTATTGCAAACATCCTTATTGATTTCATGATAGTATCTTTTAATAGAAATGGTAAGAGAATATGTGTCTAGGACTTTTGAGAAACAGAAGCCAAGGCAGGCTTGAATATCTAAGAATCTCATTAAGGAAAATTCTGACAAGCGAATTGGGGAGGGAGCCAGGGATACTGGGAAAGCCCACAGACCCCAAAGCAAGGATGGCTGAGTGGAAGAGAGGCAAGGCAGAGCGCGTGGAACCTTCCTGGACTGCTGCACAGTCTAAGGAAGATTCAGTGAGGGTGGGCATCATCAGGTGGGCAGCTGCCTGCTAGCTGCCAGAGGAGCACCTCAAGTCCCAGCTAGGGCGCAGCTTTTACCATCCCTGCCCACTTCTGTCACTGTCTGGGAGCAGACTTGCAAGTTCAAAATCAGCAGTGAATCCTCAGTCTCCCCCAGTGTCTTAGGCCCGTAATCCCAGCTACTGACAGAGGTAGGAGGTGCTGAGGCAGGAGGATTCCAAGTTCTAGGCCAGCCAGGGCAATTAGTAGGACCCTGTATGGAGGGAAGGAAGAAAGGAAGGAAGGGTCATTACTGTTTTGTCTTTGTCTTTGGAGGTAAAAACTAGTATTAGATTGTGTGAAACAGTGGGACCCACTCTTGATTTACATTTGACTGCTTAAATTCCTCTTAGTGGTCTCTAAAGTGTTACTGTTTGAGTTATTCTTCAAACAGCTTAGTTCTCTCTCACAATAATTAGACTCAAATATTGACTGAAGTAGGGAGGGAAGGAAATGGAGATAAGTTATCAGTGTGTCAGGCTTATTTAATGCACAGCTCAGTTAAGCCTCACAGCAAACCTATAATGAGGTATTCTCCATATAGTGGGAAAACAGGTTGGGTGAGATTGTCCAGATGCTGCACAGATCAAACGGGGTCAGGGCCAGAGATAGGATTCAATCAGAGGTCTGTCTGATACACAAAATCAATTCCTATGTCCAGACATCCGCAGCACTGAATCAAGAGCTCTGAGTGAACCAGGAGAGCGATGGAGATGGGAGACATTCTGCCTGAGCAGAAGAGTAGACAGTGGGAATAACAAATCAAAGAGCACAGACAAAGGAAAATCAGCTTGGCCTCAATCCTAGGAAGAGTAGCTCCAACTAGATTACTGAAACCTCCTTTAAATGATTCTGGCAGTTTCATTCTCAATGAGGTATAAAAGATCAAGGAAGAAGAGTTATCCAGACTCAATATGAGATTATATGGATATAGGAAATGCAAATCAATTCATGGAAGAAACAGGCATTGAGAGAGGGAAAATAAATGCAATGGCAACTGCAGAATGATGCATGTGATGGTGATGCTTGGAAATGTCTTCATTTCATCTGCATAATGTTGACAGGTACTTCTGCTTATTATAGAATTCTGTATTTCAACAAGAATAGTTATTCAAGAACATATCTTGAAGAATAATACTTTTGTATTCTTCAGCCCCCAAACCATAACTGAAAACACTATCCCAAGTAACTTAAATTTTTTTAAAAAGGTATTTTAAAAAACAATGAAATTGTACACTATCTAATACACATTTGAAACAGTACAGTTTTAGTTTTCAAAACTGTGAAAGATGAATTTGTTTAATGGTTGCTACTTACACATTTTACTATTAGGGGTCCTTGGTAAAAGAGAAATACTACAACAATTTATGTGCAAAATATAGTACCTTAGGCACAGAGGGTAGGAAAGGAAACATTTAAAAAGCTGTTTGCACTAAACTAAAATCCAAGTGGATTAAAGATCTACATATCAAAACAGAAACACTGAACTTGCTGGAAGATAAGTTAGGTAGAACTCCGAAGACATTGGCATAGGAAAAGACTTTATGAACAAACACTCAGTAGCATGGGAACTAGCACAAAGAATCAACAACTGGAATCTCATCCTATTAAAAAGCTTCTGCAGTGCAGGAGAAACCACCAACAGAGCTAAGAGTCAACCTAAAATGTGGGAAAAATTTTTTATCAGCTGTTCCTCAGACAAAGGACTACTATATAGATATATATAAAGAACTAAAAACAACAACAACAAAAATCAGACCTCCCAAATATAAAGACCTGATACAAAAATGGGCATCTGGAATGAACAGACATTTCTCAGACAAACAAGTAAAAGCAGCAAATAAATATATGAAAAAATGTTCAGCATCACTGGTCATTCGAGAGATGCAGATGAAAACAATACTGGGATTCCACCTCACCCCAGAAAGAATGGCTGCTATCAAAAAATCAACCAATAACAAATGCTGGTGGGGCTGTGGGGAGAAAGGAACCCTTCTCCACTGTTGGTGGGAGTGCAGACTGGTACAACCATTATGGAAATCAGTGTGGAGACACCTCAAAAAGCTAGAATTAGAGGTCCTATTTGACCCAGCTATCCCTCTGCTGGGTATCTTTCCAAAAAAATTAAAAGAATCATACCACAGTGATATATGCTCACCCATGATTACTGCAGCACACTTTGTAATAGCTAAAACTTGGAAACAGCCCAATTGCCCATCAAATGGAGACTGGTTAAAGAAGTTGTGGTTTTTCTATAAAATTGAATACTACTCAACCATAAAGAATGAGAAACTATAGACATTTATACCTAAATGGATGCATATTGAGGCCATACTCGTAAGTGAAATAAATAGGACACACTTGAGTAAATATCAAATAGTTTCTGTGGTGTGAAAAGCTAAAGTGTAAATAAGGTTCAAATGGTATAACTGATAATGTGAAATAGGAAGAAAAGGGCTAAAGGAGAAGGGGAAGTGGGAGAGAGAGGTAGGGGAAAGGAAAGAAGGGAATATGAAAAAAGGAAAAATTGGAAACAAAGCCTTTGTAAGTAGGAAAGGGTGAAGGGGGTGAAGGGAGGGCATGGGAATAGGGGAGAAAATAAGAACTAAGATATATCATGTAAAGGTACAAGTTCCCAATGATGAATGTAACTGTATTGCTTACCTTAAATGGATAAACTTAACGGTAAAAATAAAAAAATAAATAAAAAGCTGTTTAACAGGAAATGTTTAAAAATAATATGGTTGAAGGAGCTTAGAAGTAATTGAAAAGATTCATAGATATTAAAGTTCTTTTTAAAAATAAAATAAGGCATGGTACAATTTAGGAAGTTATTATTATGATGATGTCATTTTTTCTGTATCTTGAGAAATCCATTACAACTGTGGCTCAAAGCTTTTGACTATTATAGTAGTAAGCTGCATCATGATTCAGCTGCACATATATTATTGAACTTTTTCTCTCAGCATTAGTACTATTTATTGTGTACTAAAACATTACCTACTCTTAAAAAAAAATTGATTCATGACCTACAGATGAGACCAAAAACCTTTCAAGAACACTGCAGAGCCACCCTTCCCCTGCCTCCATAGCACTCACCTCCTCCCCACCACCGCCAGCAAAAACTGACGTTCCCTCTGTGAACGAAGTAAGATATCTACCACTAAAATAAATGTGCTGAAGGAAAAAGAGGCTATGACAGGAAATAATGGTGCTACTGGATCAGAACTATGCAGAACAGAGTTTTGTTTAAAATTTTTAAAGAGTATGGAGATACCTCAAAGAGCTGGGACTAGAGGTTCCATTTGACCCAGCCATCCCTCTGCTGGGTATCTTTCCAAAAGAACTAAAAGAATCATATCACAGAGAAGTATGCGTACCCATGTTTATAGCGGCACAGTTTGTAATAGCTAAATCTTGGAAACAGCCCATTTGCCCATCAGTTGGAAACTGGATAAAGAAGATGTGGTTTGTCTATTAAATGAAATATTACTCAGCCATAAAGAATGAGAAATTAGAGTCATTCATAGGAAAATGGATACATATTGAGGATATACTCCTAAGTGAAATAAATAAGTCACACATGTATAAATACCAAATAGTTTCTCTGGTGTGAAAAACTATAATAGTACATAAGATCCTAATGAGATAATTGACAATGTGAAATAGGAAGAAAAGGGCTGAAGGTGTAGGGAAAGTGGGAAGGGTAGGGGAAAGGTAATAAGGGAAAAGAAAAAAATAGGAGAAAATGAAAAAATGGAAATAAAGAATTTGTAAATGGAGAGGGGAGGAGGGGGTGAAGGGAGGACAGGGACAAGGGGAAAAAATGAGAACCAAGACCTGTCATGTAAAGGTACAAGATCCCAGTAATGAATATAACTGTACTTCCTACCTAGAATGTACCAATAAACTCAATAAAAAAATTTTTTTAAAGAAAAGTGAAGCAGAGAAAAAAAATGTCTGAAATCACTTTCCTAAAGCATGGTCCAATTAAAGAATTAATATGATGCTTCACAGAGATTGAACAATTATATTCTAACCAACAAGAACAATCAATTGTACAGAACTAGTAATAGACGTCAAGTTTAAAATGTATATTTTTTGAACATTTATCTGTACATATTATTTAAACCTATGAGTCATAACTCAACGCCACTTAGTTTTTATCTCTTTCAAGAAGCAGTGAAGTCTATGGTGAATTTTGTAATATAAAAATCAAATTTGCAACAGGCTCACTTGCATAT